CCTCGCAACCAAGAAGAAGGAAGGTACGACCATTTCTTCTGAGGTGTATGTTATAGAAGTTAACATGTCTATATCTTCATCATGGGTACTAGATACTGGATGTGGGTCTCATATCTGTACTACCATGCAGGGACTGAAGCAGAGTAGACGGTTAGCTCGAGGCGAGATTGAACTCCGAGTCGGCAATGGTGCACCTGTTACAGCTTTGGCAATCGGAACTTATAGTTTAGTCTTACCTAGTGGTCTTATGTTGGAATTAAACGATTGCTTGTACGTTCATGCGATTAGCAGAAACATTATTTCTGTTTCATGTCTTGATAAGAGTGGTTTCATCATTTCTATTCAAGACAAGTCCCTTTCCGTTTACAGAAAGAATTTTTTCTATGTTAATGCCAACATGACCAATGGGTTATATGTCCTTGACTTGGACATGCCTGTCTATAACATATCAGCCAAGAGGAACAAACCGAACGGTTTGAACCAAACATACCTATGGCATTGTAGGTTAGGCCATATAAACGAAAAACGCATATCCAAGCTACATCGGTCAGGAATGCTGGAGTCATTTGATCTTGAATCATATGACACATGCGAATCTTGTTTATTGGGTAAGATGACCAAATCTCCTTTCACCGGACACGGTGAAAGAGCTGGTGATCTTCTGGCACTCATTCATAGTGATGTGTGCGGGCCTTTCAATACAATTGCACGAGGTGGTTATTCATACTTCATCACTTTTACTGATGACCTCAGTAAATATGGCTATGTGTATCTCATGAAACACAAGTCAGAATCCTTTGAAATGTTCAAAGAATTCAGGAATGAAGTTGAAAAACAACTTGGAAAAAGTATTAAAACACTACGATCCGATCGAAGTGGAGAATACTTAAGTGGTGAGTTCGATGACTATCTTAGAGAGCATGGGATTTTATCCCAACTCACACCTCATGGGACTCCACAATGGAATGGTGTCTCTGAAAGGAGGAATCGAACCCTGCTTGACATGGTTCGTTCTATGATGGGTCATTCGACTCTACCAGAATCATTCTGGGGGTATGCGCTGAGCACTGCAATATATACTCTTAACCGAGTTCCAACCAAGGCGGTTGAAGGAACACCATACCAGCTATGGACGGGTAAATGCCCGGTTCTGTCACACTTAAAGATTTGGGGCTGTGAGGCTTATGTCAAACGTCTTATGACGAATGGGAAGCTTGACGCCAAGTCTGATAAGTGTTTCTTCGTGGGATACCCCAAGGAAACTCGATGGTATTCATTCTATCACCCTATCGATAAGAAGGTATTCGTTGATCGCAATGGTGTCTTCCTCGAGAAGGAATTTCTCGCCAACGCAACTAGTGGAAGAAAGATAGAGCTCGAAGAAATTCGAGACGACGAAGAAACTACCGCGCCGGTTCTGGAACATGAGCTAGAGGAACAAACCGTTGTACCTCAAAATGCTCAAGATACACAAGAACCCCGTAGGTCTAACCGGCTACGCACACAACCTGAAAGGTATGGATTCCTCCTAACCTTTGAGGGTGACGTAATGCTTATCGACCAGGATGAGCCGGAAACCTACCTCGAGGCAATCAGTTGTCCCGAGGCTGAGGAATGGCGTCAAGCCATGCAGTCCGAAATGGATTCCATGTACACCAACCAAGTATGGACTTTGGTTGATGCACCCGAAGGGGTCAAACCCATTGGGTGCAAATGGGTCTTCAAAAAGAAGACTGACATGAATGGTAAGGTACAAACCTTCAAGGCACGACTGGTAGCAAAAGGATATCGTCAAATACATGGTATCGACTATGACAAAACTTTTTCTCCAGTTGTCATGATTAAATCCATTCGGATCTTACTTGCTATCGCAGCATACCACGATTACGAAATCTGGCAGATGGACGTCAAAACGGCTTTCCTTAATGGAACATCCGTTTTCACGAAATCGTCATCGGTTTTGGTTTTGAAAGAAATTCGGATGAATCTTGTGTATACAAAAAGGTCAGTGGGAGTGCTGTAGTCTTCCTTGCTCTATATGTTGATGACATACTACTCATAGGAAACGATATTCCTACTTTAACCACCGTCAAAACGTGGTTGAGTAAGAGTTTCTCTATGAAGGACTTGGGAGATGCCAGTTATGCACTTGGCATAAGGATCTATAGGGATAGATCACGGAAGCTGTTAGGTCTCAGTCAAAGTACATACATAGACAAGGTCCTCGCTAGATTCAGCATGTTTGAATCGAAACGAGGAAGTTTGCCTATGGTTCAAGGCACGAGTCTTTCCAAGACTCAGGGTGCTTCCACTCCAGAGGAAGTAGAACGCATGAGAAATGTTCCTTATGCGTCGGCCATTGGATCCATCATGTATGCGATGGTATGTACGGGACCTGATGTCGCCTTTGCTCTGAGTGTCACGAGTAGATACCAGTCCAACCCTGGCGAAAGCCATTGGACGGCTGTGAAGAACATCCTTAAGTACTTTCGTAGAACTAAGGATGCCTTCCTGGTATATGGCGGAAAAGAAGAGCTCAGTATTGTTGGATATACTGATGCCAGCTTCCAGACTGATAGAGACGACTTCAAGTTGCAGGCAGGGTATGTGTTTTGTTTGAATGGTGGAGCTATTACCTGGAAGAGTTACAAGCAAGATACTACCGATGATTCCACTACAGAAGCAGAGTACATGGCTGCAGCTGAGGCAGCCAAGGAAGGTGTGTGGCTCAAGAATTTTATTACTGAGCTTGGAGTGGTTCCTAGCATCAAGAACCCTATACCGTTGTTTTGCGACAACAATGGGGCAATTGCACAAGCGAAAGAACCTCGGTCTCACCAAAAGACCAAACACATCGTTAGACGT